TATAAAATAAATAAATATATGATTCATTTACATATACATAATGTATATATACATACAAATAAACATATAAACACACACACACACACACACAAACACACATATATATATATATATTTAATTTCTATCTATCTATCCATCTTATTTATTTATATATATACATATATATATATAAATATATACATACATGCATAACAAATATACATACATGCATACATACATACATACATACATACATACGAATATACATACATATATATATACATATATATATATATATATATATGTATATGTATATATATATATAGAGATAGATAGATATATATATATCAAATATATATATACATATATACCTGGCAGTTGAATTTACAGATAGTTTATGGCTTCGTTTTTGTACTATAGCGACAATGGACGAATACATAATCCGCACCGCCAATGCAAGTCCGATTCAAGCACAATCTCAACCATGAGTTTAATGTAGTTGTCAACGCATTTATTCAATCCCATACGGACGTATCTAGCTCGAGACTGTCAAGGTAACAAATTTTATATCTTTTTGGAGGTAACATTTCACACACCTATAGTGTAAATAGTTTGCTGCAGTAGAAAAAAATATCATTCAGTGACAAAGTGCCTTCTGACAACCTAACCAGACATATACCATTTCTGTATCACTCAGGCGGGTCGTAGCCAGAGAAGATCGAGAGAGTGTGGTGGCCTGGTGCGTGCCTACACAGCTGTTGCCAGAGATGCCCTCTCGTTATACTGCGAAGGCCGCATGGAATGTGCGGGATATAAATAATTGCAAAGAATGAATAAGTGTAAGCCGCAATGAGTATGTATAAAGGTGATGGAACAGCTGATTATTTTTTAATATTTATGTAGTGCCGAATCAGGCGATTGTTTTATGTCGTGTGTCCTCACTCCACTCACTCTGACCAGTGTGAACTGAGTGTGTCTCTTGTTGGGTGTGAATTCAGGGAGCGAGATCTATATAAAATATATAGAATTTCTAAAAATAGGGATGTGATTTTTGGCGGGGGGTTTAGAAACTGGACAAAATGTTCGTTTTATATATATTGTCGCCTCTTTTTCATAAATCTAAATTGGACACATTTCCCCCCCCCCGACATTGCCCTCTATTGAGAAAGAAGAAAGAACAAAATATGGTTGATCGGACTAACGTCCGAAGGACGATGGCCATGATACCGATACATATAATTATACGAGAGCAAAAGACTTCGGCAAGACATTTTGATTCTCCGACTCTTCGTGGAAAAGTTGCACCTTCGTCTCGGGAGGGAAAGTATTTTTCCAGAGACTCTATCCAGAGGTCAGAAGGCCATGGTGTTCAAGTGCTTTATAATATGCTTTAAAAAAAAAGATACATCATATTAATAACAAAGTAAATATCACTTACAATTCCGAGGACTCGACTAATGATACAAATCGCTTTTTGTTAAGATGCGCATAGTATTATTTTAATTATAGTTCAGTCTTTTGGAGTTTTAAAAGAGCCACCGAAAGGTTTGCTGGCTTAGGATTTGCCTACAAATACTCAAATTTGTGTTCTGGAATTGGCCATTCACCTCCAATCGTGTATATGTATACATGCGTGGACATAGAGTCAGTTCTCTTGTCGCACCGGAATATTTGGTCGAATGGAAAATATATATGAAAGTCTGCGCATCTATTCGTCTGCAGTGGGAGCAATCACGGTCAATACAGGCGCAGGATAAACTTCTTCGGCTTGTCTTCTGCGATGGACATGGCCTGCATGCTCGTCAACCTCCTCCACTTCAGCGGTTGCATTATATGGTCTGTTTGTGTAATGGAGGTATATCAGGTTGAATCACACCGTTTAACAATGAACGCCAAGTTATGTATGTGTTTGTCACGTAAATCCGAGCATCAAACAATTATATATATAAAATCTACAAACTTACCCCATTGTTGAGTTACCAACGATCCACTCGTACAGCTCTCCGTCGCTGAGGGTTTGTACTACCTGGAAAGGCATGGTTCCAGTTTGATTTGCTGGTAGGGACAAGTACATTTCGAAAATATCGACAGCCCATGTTGGTACCTCGTAGCCGTATACAGCTGTCCAAGTCACGGTATCCACAGTCTCATTTACCATACTGCCGTAGACTTCTACGTTGGGTACAAGTTCTCGCAGAGTGCGGCTCAAGCTGAACCCATATACTGGACGAGGCTTGACCGAATATGTGCCTTCCGGTAGAGTGACAGTAACCTATGCAAAAAGTTTGGGAGATACGCTATCAGGGATAAATACAAACTCTATAGCTGAATACTTCAGCTACATAAGGAATTACGGCTAGATTTGCAGACCTGAAATGCAGAACAATAAATTCGAGCATAATACACACCGCAACTGTTCCGGCTTCCGGTGCACCATGAGCAAGCTTCAATCCCAACAAAAAGTTTGATCCCATCTCCGCTTCACTCGGGATGCAAGACATATGTGCACTAGTCGTGAACGCACACGCAAGAAGCGTGGCAATCGTCACAAAGGTCCTGGCACTCATGGTAATAGGTAATTTGTTATTTTAAAATTCTTCGAAAGCAAACTTAAGTGAATGAGATTGTGCATCACTGGCGTATTTATACCCGTCAACGCCTGATGCTAAAACTTTTTTAAAAGACCTTCCAATAATCTAGAGGGTAATGTGCAGTACCCAAAATAAAGATACACGAAAATCATAGTATTTGTTTTTTTTCAACGAGAAAGTATAGTATCTAAAGGAATTCACATACATATTTAGTACTTACACGATGCATTTAAAACAATAATGAAATATGTGAGAGCAGTGCCGCGTGTCCACAATACTCTAAATGCGCAATTAAAATGAACATCATGTGAAGTATCTTTCAAGTGTGTCTGTCCCACACTCGCAGACTTTCGAATTTAGACTCTAAGAGTCAAAGCGATCCGGCATGCGCTTGGCAAAAATTCTGTAAACTTCTGAAGTTCTGATAAAAAAAAAAGTTCATCAATTGTGTTCAAATCTGGTCCAGCATACGAACTGGACGATGATTGGCATGATTTAGTCGAGCGGGCTTTTCTTGCTGAAATGGATTTGCTGTGGATTCTGTGTTGCGCGGATGCTTGAGGATATTGCGCAACATGTCAACAACATTCCTCATTTGGTCATCGAGTATGTAAATAACTATGCATCGTTGTTTTCCTCGGCGTTTATTTTATACTTCTCTCTGTCCCTCTTGTCGATACTCTATTATTAAAAACGTTGTGTGAAGTGTTGAATCTTGTATCTTGTGAGTTGTGAGTTGTGAGTTATGACTTGTGACTTGTAATGTGCCATGATGTTGTGTGTGTGAAATTGTGAATATTTGTGTGAGAGTGCAAGCCTCGTGACTCGTGAGGCGTCCAACAGTCCGTCGTCAACAAACTGAAAGTAGAACCAGTATTTACATAAACTAGTTATCAGTAAAACCACTGTTTGTTTCTATAGAGTCACTTATTTTTGAACATAATAGTGCTTTTTAAGACCAAGCGACAAACCTTGAAAACAGTTGCTTTAGAATCAACAATTTGATAGCTTTGACAATATGCTGTATTGCATACTGGCTATATTTAAAACATAGTCATTTTAGGACAGCATAGTCAAGGGTGGGAGACTGCTTTAACACCGCAGGACCAGTAAACGAATGCAAGAATTTCATATCACATATACATATACATCTATATATACATATACATCTAT